TTAGGGGTTGACTAATAATTATTGTACATACTCGATTTATTTTGGAATAGGTCTGAAATAGATTACCTTGTACGCTTTCTAAAGCAACCTTTTATCAACAAATGGACCCGCATCAATGCGAACAATTTACTTGATCTTAACAAAAATGGTTAAAAATTCTAGATAGAGCTGGAATAAGGGCCAATGTCGCAATGGGCTGAACTGAGAAAAACGAATCTGAAATTTTGAACAAGAAGAATTAAACATTGAATAAACTATAAACCTATTTCAAAAACCTTACTATTTTTAATTACTAAATTATTGGTTAGCATTATTGTAAGATAAATAAAAATATTATTATCTTTATTTACAGCTCGAAAAAAAAAAAATGAAAATGTTGGATGCACCTTTTTGATTTATAGTATCTTGTATCGCGAGGTAATTCGCCCGGCTACATTATTTTTCCTAAAAAATTTAGTTATCATTTTTTAGCATTTTAATAGTAGTATAACGTGATGCATTAACCTCAGTTTGTTTACACTTGCGACATTCGCCCTTATTCCAGCTCTATCTAGAATTATTTATAATTCATGCTAAACTTTAACTGTTATTTTGTATTTATTCTAGCGAGTTTCTGTGGGAGTCAAAACATGATCCGAGCAAAAAAGTAGTACTCGTAATAATGATATATAATTCTGAATTTTATCGTGCTTTGTTTCGAAAATATCTTCCAAATAAACAAACATCATCCAGATCACCCGATTCGTCCACCGACTAAATCTATTGCCACTTAAAAATTAATTTCAGTCGGTGTATTAATCAGCAGATTAAATCGTTTTTCGTCTAGTGCTACACCGAGCAATCGGCCTATTTAATAGTTTTTCGTCGATTGATTTAGTCGGTCAACTTTGTCTGTTGTTTAATCGGCAGATGATTTCAAACCTTAACATGTTTTCAGTAATTTATAAGTCTTGAAGTAGCTTTTTATTTAAGAACAATGCATTACAAAATAGTTTTATGCATTTTGTAGAAGATTCATCCATGCCGACAAGAAATTTTCATGAAATTACACTGAAATTAAATAATTTTGCAAACAATCAATGAAATTTTCAAGGGCTGTCACAGACTTATCACCGTCGGTTAGTGCTTATTCCTGCCACCAGGCGCGCATGAGTTTAAGTTGGATTTCTCAATTGAACTGTCAAACCGGCTACCTATCGTGCAAAGTAAACAAGCATTACGATGCTATGAAAGGTCCACGAAAGGTATTGCAATTAAATATAAAATATAATGGAAGAAATTATCATATACACGCAGTGAGCATTACATTTGTCATGCGATACGTTTTGTAATGATCAGTAATGACAATTTCTTCTATTTTTCTTTAAGATAATTCGACAAAATCACTGATATAATGATTTACTACAGCCGTTAATTTTTTTCCTCGCTAGAAGTCATTTGAAGTTGATGCAGAAGTCCTCTGTTGCCAAGTTAAAAGAAAGGGAATCTTTCGAAAACCGTGATGCGAGTTCAATTGTTTTTCTCTTGGCGTGACTCATTATACACCGACTCTAGTATGAACCTTTCAAATAATGCAGTGTCGTCCCGTAACCTCACTTTTTACCTGTGCACCAACTTTCAAAACCAGATTTAATGCCATATTTTTTTTTTTTTTTTTTTTTTTTTATTGGTATCAAGCTGGAGCTGCGTGACAGCTTAATTTTCAAGACTTGACCCATTTGAATAAATTTTGCTTCTATCTTTGACAATACAGCAGAAGGACTAGCCTATGTTGGCCGCTTGAACACTGGATTCCGTATGTATTGTTTCAAGATAGTTATAGAAAAAATGCTGTGACGTGTGCGCGTAGATACATCCGCGTAGTAAACCGATTGAATAAGTAAATCCGTTTCGAACGAAATATCTAAATTATGTAAGTTACGAAAACCGCGCGAATTCCGAAAGCCGTGCGAGACAACCGAAGCGAGAAAAAAAAGGCTTATTATCATTTAAAGAGTGCCACCAAAATAAATGTGATAGCCTATGTTGGCAAGTTGATTAATTTTGGTTTCCTCCTTAGATATTCTACTTATTTACTACTGAGCTTTGTATCAAATTAGTTAATTTAAAGAACGTATCAATCATTTCAAGATTTCGCGACCGCACCGAACAAATTCTATAAGCTCAAAAGCGTTTGACAAGCTCTACCGAATTGCGTATCACTTCTGCGTAAGCTCCGTAGACGTAGGCGCGTTGAATCCGACAGTCGGCAAAGGTTTAACCTGTACCAACACCGCTTAAGGAACGACCTCGAGTCAGTGAAACCGTTTATAGTTAAACATCTAAATTACGTAAGATACGAAAATCGCGCAAATTGTGAACGCCACGCGAAACAACCGTAGAGAAAAAAAAAACAACTTATTATCACTTAAAGAGTGCCACCAAAATAAATGTGATAGCCTATGTTGGCAAGTTGATAAATTTTGGTTTCCTCCCTAAATATTCTACTTATTTTACTGTTGAGCTTTGTTTCAATTTAGTTATTTTACCGCACGTATCAATCATTTCAAGATTTCGCGACCGTACCGAACAAATTCTATACTACCGAAGCTCAAAAAAAAAAAAAAAAACTTTTGGTGAGCTCTACCGCATTTCAAATCACTTCTGCGTAAGCTCCGTAGACGTAGGCGCGTTGATTCCGAAAGCCGCGAAAAGTTAAACATGCATCAATACCACATAAGGAAAGATCGATTTTACGTATGGTTTAGTTCATAGATTAACATTGATTGCTGTTTACAAATGTAAGTACTTGAACACTAAGAAATAAGTTAACTCAAATGCTTTAATCGCATATATAAGAGATTTCGCGTATTGAGAGAATTATATAGTAATCGAGTACAACAAACTCAGGGGAATACAATACCTCCAAAAGTTTAAAAGCTAATAACTGTCACATAACTCTACTTTTACTTTTTTCCTAAACTATTCCTTTCCTTGTTAATCTGCTAAATGCTATTGGTCTGCCTGCGTTTTCTTTTTTTTTAAATTCAATACTAAATAAGAAGATTTATTCTACAACTATAAAGGTTAGTTGCCTCCCTAAGCGGACCACACGCATCCTAATTCTTTTGTTAATCTACTTAATGTCATTAAACTTTCTGAAGTTTATTATTTAAATTCATTTGATGGTTATGATATCTCATTAGTCTAAATTAATAAATTATTAAAAGCTCTAAGTCACCTAATCAATCATAACCCATGCTTTATTAAGTACCTGCACTTGTGCTTGTAATCTAAAATTAAACGTGTTTCAAGTACTTTTGATTTTGACCTATACCTATTTATTATATCTTAGTTCGACCCAGGTGACACCCTCAAGTGACTAAAATGCTTCATTTTGAAGTTAGTTTCCTAGCTGATTTTAAATTATATAGGGTATATGCTCCAACTACGCTCACACGTTTCCACTATGTCGTCCCACAAAATTACGTATGGATATATCACAATAGAAGCACGCAACAGTGGAAATCCCGAGCCATAGTTCAAACATTTATCCCAAATCAAAATGAAGCACATATAAGATTAGTTACAATACCATGTACAAAAATGATGTTTAAAATTGTTCCCTGAGTAATACTTCAATGAAAACAACAATGAAAGCTTGTCACGCAAATAGAAGGAGCACCGTTGGGCACTTTCTGAAATATTTCAATAGTATAATTCCCTTGCAAACCCAAATAAATCTATCTGCGTAAAAAAAAAAAAAAAAAGAGTGATTTGCGGCAAAACCCGCCAGTATCACACCCAACGTCAGTGCCTATACGTAAGCGTACCACGACGCGGCTCTCAATAAAAGGAGTAACAAGTGTGATACTATCACTGCTGGACTAGATCTTTTGTTCTCTCATGCAGTGGTTTATCAGAGAGGGGAAGCTCAGTAATCCTCATTGCCTGCCCATGGCGCCATTCTATCGCGGCATGAGCCAGCAACGTCGGCCACAAAGCCACCGTCTCCAACACTCCACTAGCATGAAATTAAGCCCGCCCACCAACAGCAAGGTGCAAAAACTAGCCAAGGGGAGGGAGATTTAATGCCATATTCATACTCGAATCCGTTGAAAAATACACCTAATCTTCTAGTTTACTCGATATCTATCCATTGCAAGTAATATTTTGATAGTTGTTTATGTTTTTAGAGTTGGTGCACAGGTAGATTGAGGTTAAGGAAACGCCACTGAAATATTGAAAAAATTTACCATTACCATTCCAAATTATTATTTTCTACATACATTTCTGGGAAAGGAATTATATTGGAACCATTTTATTTATGTTTCGAGAACTTTAATGGTAATGGTTATGTATTTCATAAACAGTTATGGTAGTTGGTAAGATCTATAGATGGTTTTGTAACATCGATCAACTTTATGTGGAATATATCGCGAATTGGTTGCATGTAAATGACTGATTACCAATTCGCGATATATTCCACGTAAAGTTGACCGATAATACAAAACCATTCATGGACCTTACTGTCTACCATAACCATTACCATTAAAGTTCTCAAGCCATAAGTAAAAAGGTTCTAATGAAGTCCTCTCTCCGACAATGTATGGAGAAAACAACTATTTTGAATGGTAATGGTTCTTAACAACCTATTATTTTCGGTATGGTTAAGTTATGGTTCGCGTTTATGCGGGGACAGCAATATTCTCGATTAATTTTAGAATAGGTTCTATTAGGACCTATTTCTAAAATACTCGTGAGTTTTGCATCCTGATAACGAAAAAAAAAACAAAGATGGAGTTCGTTCTTCAATTTATACACATAGCAACGAAGCCATGTAACTGGAAAACTGAAGGTAAAAAGTTAGCGACTAATCGATGGCTGTAGAACGAATCTCTCTTACTAATTTAGTAGTATTTTTATGGAATGACTACCAATTTAGAGAGAAAGATCCGTCCTACAGCCATCAGTTAATTATAACTTTTTAATTAGTTTTTATAATTATCATTGTTACTTACCGTGGGAGGTCGAATCTTACAGATTCCATATTTCTCAGCTATCGGTCGTATTTTATTTATGTAGATAAGAGGATTTTTAAAATCCTCTTCGGAGGGTTCAAACACCGGTGCTTCCGGAGGCACTTTGAACTGGAACTCGTCATATTTGTCCAATGAAATATGAGGTTTCTGAAGCTGTTGTGCACATTCTCCACTGGCTGCACTCAGTAATGGATTAGCTCCGTTCGAAACCGAACATGGATAGTTGGAACTAACATTTTCACTTCCCGATCCAGGCGAATTTATCAGCTTATTCTTGCTTTTCATTATGCACTGTTATAATTACCGCGTCTTCATATACTTTATTCAGAACCACTAGACATCAACATTGAAAATAAGCATTTTTTTTCATCATTATTTCAACTGCAAATTATTAGCATTATATATCATGCTATTTCTTCGGAAATTTCAATTGAAAACTTGGAACGCTTTTAGAGATCGCCGTCAATTCGACTCTACCGTTTGATAATCCGGTAATTCAACTGTTGAAACGTAGATCAGACACCGATTTTTATATTCTTCAACAATACAGAGGATTCAACATTAAGGACCAGCTATGATTTATTTTTTTAAACAGTAATACAAACTGTTAACTTTTCTCACTCACGAAAACATCGTTCTTTTTGCCTGCTTTCTGCGTATGGCTTTGTGAAAGGTAACACCTTCACCAAATGGGCTACTCAAAGTGCAAATTGTCACGTATCACTTAAGGCCCGAACGCAATGACAGCGGAAGCGGAACGGCAGCGGAAAAGTCACCCGCATAATATTGCGCATTTCACATCAAATTGGACTAATAAGCGCGTTTTCACTTATTAAAAAGTGTGATAAAATTGCAAGTTTACGTCTAATCGTCTTGGTGTCTCCGGTGCACTTATTCCTTATGATGCAAGCAATAAGTGCTCCGAATACATCAAAACGATATGACGGAAACATGCACTTTTATCACATTTTTTGCATTTTTGGGACAATCCAGATTCAGATGCGATCAGCAATATTATTTATTTATTTAAATATTATTGATGAATCTACACGGTTAGAAAAAAGTCCCCAAAATTAAGTTCTTTTCACTCATCTCGGCACTATAGTGCAGGAACCCAAAAGTAGGTAAAGCGGGTCAAAGTAATTTTCATTTGATGAGTCTACGTTATACCCTGGACAGACTATGGCTTATATCATGTAATATAAGCTGTCTTGCAATGAGCACTCATACATCTAGTTTTCACTGGAAATCCTATGTATGAGTGCTCATTGCAAGACAGCCTATATTACATGATATAAGCCATAGTCTGTCCAGGGTATTACGGTCGGCCAGCAGATGGAAATGATGTGAAAGTGATAATGACGTTTTGCTAGCTGTCAAATCGTATGTAATATTTTTAGTACATCATCACATATGTGGTTTTGGATTTCAAACCTAGGTGTCGCATGCACTGGTGCAGTTTCGCGTAGATTCATCATTTACTTGAGTGCAGTTCGTATGGAATTTTCCACTGCCTTTTCAACCAAAAGTAAGTTAGTTGTACCCAACAGTAGGTAAATATGATTATACTCAACGTTGGGTTCCCACACTTTACTACCCCTGTTGGGTGGTTTTGCTTCTCCGTTTTTGACAACATTAGAAGGAGAAAAGGAGACAAACTATTGGCGTCTTGCAGTGAAACTTTTCCATGCTTTCGCCACCTACATTTCGAAGTGAGAACTACTAGAAGGAGGATATTTTCCAAATTCTTCAAGTAAAACAGACGATTTTTGGGGCAAATCGGTACATAAAGAAAAACTAATAATTTCCCGTGGAAACTTTTGCTTGAATCGTGTAAGAAAATGTGTTTGCAAACTAACTGTTATTATTTCAGTATGGATCGGAGATGTTTTCATGGAAAATTATGCATAACAAGTTTGCACCCACAGGGAGAGGTTACCTCCTGCGCAGCGGCATTTTTCGGAAAATGGTGAATATGTGCGATTTTCACTAGGATGAAAGTGGAAATTAAGTGAATTTACTTAGGAAAGGTTGTATCATGCTGATGGTAATCACAGAGAACAGACAGGGAGGCTCGAACAAAATGTCTCTAAAAACTTGTGTAAAGATTCCTATTCGACTTAAGCGCCACTAACGGCGACTTCCCCACTTAAAAACCCTCTTTGACAACATGATGGCGCTGGCGTTGCACAAATTACACTAGACACTAAGTGCTAGTAGCGCCAAGTGGCAATTTTCAAGAGAAAATTTATCGATACTAGCGCCAAATTATAGAGAAAATCAGGAGATGCTAACACCACGTAACGGCGACGTTCCCACTTATTTTACACAAGTTTCTGACCGAACTTGAACGTCTGTTCTCTGTGTGGTAATGGAGACTGATTGTATAGGACGCCAATATTCAATAAATGTTCATTTTGGCCTTTTGTTAGCAAACATATTGATGCTCACAATTTTCGACGGAAAACGCAACGGAACTTGCTTTACTCAACACGCACCATACTATAAAATGGTGCTAGATGGTCTTCAAAGTGATAGCAAGATGACAAATCATCTCTATTTTGAATAATTGAGCAATTTACTTCTGTTAACATCATATTTACGATGCAGCATTGTTAGAGCCGCGAAATGAAATGAATATATCTTATGAAAGTTCAACTGGAAAAGTCAAAGTTGCACATCAGTCTGATCGTAAAAACGTTTTCTTCTGCAATTCGAATGTTGTATTGGAAGAATTTTACACAGGCTTGATGAAAATTATGATTTAACGCTAATTTTCACGAATTTTATATGCAGTCTGTCAACATTATCATCATCATGCAGTGGCGACATCTGTGTTGAGCTTTTACGGCAATCTTCCAATTGGCGTCTTGCAGTGAAACTTTTCCAAGCTTTCGCCTCCTACATTTCGAAGTGAGAACTACTAGAAGGAGGATAGTTTCCAAATTTTCCAAGTAAAACAGACGATTTTTGGGGCAAATCGGTCCATAAAGAAAAACTAATAATTTCCCGTGGAAACTTTTGCTTGAATCGTGTAAGAAAACGTGTTTGAAAACTAATTGTTATTATTTCGGTATGGATCGGAGATGTTTTCATGGAAAATAATGCATAACAAGTTTGCACCCACAGCGAGAGGTTACCTCCTGCGCAGCTGCATTTTTCGGAAAATTGTGAATATGTGCGATTTCCACTAAGATGAGAGTGGAAATTAAGTGAATTTACTTAGGAAAGGTTGTATCATGCTGGTGGTAATGGAGAATTGGTTGTATAGGACGCCAATATTCAATAAATGTTCATTTTGGCCTTTTCTAAGCAAACATATTGATACTCACAATTTTCGACGGAAAACGCAACGGAACTTGCTTTACTCAACACGCACCATACTATAAAATGGTGCTAGATGGTTTTCAAAGTGATAACAAGATGACAAATCATCTTTATTTTGAGTAATTGAGCAATTTATTTCTGTTTATACATCATATTTACGATGCAGCATTGATGGAGCCGCGAAATGAAATGAATATATCTTATGAAAGTTCAACTGGAAAAGTCAAAAATGCACATCAGTCTGATCGTAATAACGTTTTCTTCTTCAATTCGAATGTTATATTGGAAGGATTTTACACAGGCTTGATGAAAATTATGATTTAACGCTAATTTTCCCGAATTTTATATGCAGTCTGTCAACATTATCATCATCATGCAGTGGCGACATCTGCGTTGAGCTTTTACGGCAATCTTCCAATAGTCAAATGTAGGTAAAAGTGAACTGGCCGTTGGGTACTTTTTTCTCACCGTGTACGTTACGGTCGACCAGCAGATGGAAAATTCAGTGCCAACATTTCAAAGGGGCGTAATTGCATTTGTAAACAATGGCTTTAGCCGTCGATTTCTCGTGAATAAAAGCTCACTCATGAAAAATAATGACACCAGAAGGTAGATGAATGTTTCCTCTACCAGCTAGAATTGTAATTTTGAAGAGGTAAGATTTCATTCGCGAGAAATTGATGGCTAAAGTCATTGTTTACAAAAGCAATTACGCACCTTTGAAATGTTGGCACTGAATTGATGAATCTACGCGAAACTTGGGTTCCATTTTTAATGCAGATTACGAATATGCATTTACCTCCCCTAATAAAAATTGTATGGTTAATTTGCTTAACGACGTGTTCTGGGTATCATCCAAACCATTTGTGGAATAGTTCAATGATTTGGGTTATTGTTCGTTTATGGTTATTTTTTATTAGGGTCAATACCCTTAAAGAACCCAATTGATATTTATATTGTTGGATTCAGCGTACGATTTAACATAAGAATCATTCGTCAAAGGTTCAAGTTCATGTGTTTACTTTTATTTTTTTAACTAGTAATATCAGCGTTAGATTAATTGATGCTCCAATCGATTCAAAGGAAAGGTAACTGATTTCTTTTTATTTAAGAAGGTGACTGTTCAGGATTTTCATGCTAATTAATATCATGTTTAAGGATTCATTTCCTCCAAGTTTTATTCTATACCAGTGCTTTGGGTCAAATATTATTACTAGAGTTTACCTCCGATCACAACTTCGAGGTCTTTGAAATTTGACATGTCATAACGTGCAAGATGCGCCATACTTTGGAACTTGGGGGCACTCCAGCTCAACACTGCAAAACATTACTAACCGGGACTAAACTGGGCGGTGTAGCTTGGACAATGTTGTCGAATCAATAATAGCAAACTGAATAGAAGACTGCCGAAACATCTTTAATACACCGATAATGGAAACGCTCCACCAACCCACTGGCATCAAGTGATAGAATAAGCGGTTCCTAAGATGGTAGCCCTATAATGGCGGATAAGTGAAAAAAAAAATTACAACCATCTTAGAAACCAACATAAAAAGAAAATGAACTGACATCAAAGATTAGTTTTTCGTTTTGTGCATGAAAAATAAAATAAACGTAAGTTAACGACTAAAACTTAATTTAATTTAAAACGTCAAGAGAGTAATAATTATAAAAAAGCAGATCTTTCATTGCTTCTTTTCCGCAGCTTTCTTCTGCTTCTTCTCCATTGTTGCCATTGCCTTTTCAAGTTATAATGCTTCCTCTTCTCCATCTTCTTCCTCCTCTTCCTCTCTCACTCAACCTTTTTCTTTTGTCGTTCCTCAATCCTTTGTTTCTTTGCGTTCTCTTTATTTCCGTCAACTTTAATGTATATTTCCGGCCATTCCTCGCTGGTGGCTACTGTTGGGAACAGGCATACCGAAAGTACCGCCTCATGACAGTATTCCAACGGCTGTCGCTTTCTTTTCCCTACGCCAGCCTTGAGATTGAGCTATAAGCGACAGCCCACAGTGAGGCTGTTATACGACATGCAACGTTGCCGTCTTGTGCAGTACACGACAGCTCGTTCTCAGTCATGTATTTTGTTCGTTCGGCTATGACAGCCTCGGATGGTCATTCGTAACGTTCCTCGTACATACAACAAGCAGTCCGTCGAACTGCCGATTCGTTGCTGCTGTCTTTGAAATTTTGTTTGTGTGTCGTAAGACTACACTACCAGTGTGGCGCCGGAGCTCGTTCGGTGTTGCTATCACGTTCGTGCTGCCCATTGCAAAATTTTCATCCGATATTTTTTTTAAAACGCGCGGTCTCCGGCGAAAAATATAAGCCTACC